CTATGGGAAGTGAGAGTTTTATAATTTATTTTCTATTAAGATGTTGACTGTTTCACTGAACACAATCATTTTGTGGTTTTAATCACAATATGAAAGCTGCACTGAAGTTACATTTCTGCTTCTTTCTGTTCTCCCATGGATATCCACCATTCTCATATTTAAAGGCATATTTAAAAAGGCCAGTGCCAAAATGCTTGCATTAATTTTCTTTGTTCTTGAGAAGTTTTTTATATCTATTGAAACAGCAGGCTACTGTGTTGTTTACGATACATTTCTTGAATTTTATTGCAGAGTGAACATTCAGGTAGGATTAAACATGATTATGCATATTTAGAACCACTTTTTATAAATTGCCCTAAGAAGAACGGAACTGTTTAAAATACTGTGTATGTGTTTCTGCACTTACATTTGTGCTTACTCAAATGCAAGCACATAAATCACATGCATACTTTTCGAAAATATCCTTGATCATTTCAGGGGGGAGTTGGACTAGATGACCTTTAAAGGTCCCTTCCAACCCAAACTATTCTATGATTCTACGAATCTAGGGGGTGAGGTACACAGAGAAAATTGTTTTGTGCGTCCACAGCTAAGGTCTATATGTGTAACTTCACCAAAAATGTGTTATGTAAATGTGAATCTACCCTTTTGAATACATGGCTGCAACAGTCCTTGAGCTCTTGCTGTTGTATATGCTTTCTTTTGGTGGAGGACAGAACACCATAGTAATTTTCTCTTCCCTCTCCATGCACTGGGTGACTCTGCTGTCAGCAGGATAAGGGCTTCTTACAGAACTACGTGAGTGAAGACCATCAACTTCCCTCAAGCACAGTGAATAAAGATGGGCCACCCATTAGGGATAGATTTTCAAAGTTCTTTATGCACTCAAAGTGATATACAGGCACACAAACCTGCCATCAAGTTTCACATGGTCCTATCAGGAAAGTAGTTATGTCCAAGAGAAATACAGCACATGTGTGACATCAGATATGGATAATTACATATGAGTGTTCTTAGGTTTCTTCATGGTCTTGTAGAATTAAATTCTGAAGAATCAATATGTTTTCCAATACTAGATGTGAAGTCTCCCAGGTGAAAAATATAGTAATATTAACTAGTTTTGGTTTTTTTGTTTTTTTTTTTTTTTTTTTTCCCGCCTCCTTCTATTTGGACTTCATCTTTAAGCATGAAAATTCTTTCTCGTGTCATTTTAGATGCATGACAGATTGTAGGTACCTTGCAGTTGAATCGGTGGCTTCCAGACTGGAAATCACAAGCTTGTGCTAAGTGCCTTTGCTCCTTTTACTGTGCCTGAGGGTTAGGTGTATTTGTATGGAATCCAAATAAATTCTTACACTTTTAAGAAGTTATGAAAGGGGTGATCTAGCTTGGCTGTGTTTTAGAGGACTTTTACATTGCATTTGATTATCCCGTTATCTTGCACTCCTCAAACCTGGAGGATAGAGAAAGATTTCAGATGAGCTTGGGCAGAATTTAGGTGCTGAGTTGCTCAGACTAGTGCTCTTTTGAGTGTTTGTACAGGTACTGCTCTCCAGTCCTAGAGAAATTTCACAGTTAAACATAAATGCTTTCTTGGGATCTTCCACTATTAGGCAGCAGCAGAGCTGAGAGTTGAGATGTGATTTTACGTTTAGGTACTTAAAATCCTTACCAAATTCAACCCTTTAATTATTTTTCTGTTTGCCAACATGCCATCACTTCTCATTTTATAATTACTTTTCTGTGCTCTGATGAATTAATCAGTATTCTCTATTTTTTTGCTATGTACTTAACCAAACCCAAACTTTTCATCTGTAAATTTTTCTATTGCTTGTCTTTAAAGTCATTAATTCAGTGAGAAATTGGTTAAATAAAATAATCTTAAGAGCAGATTCATAAAAACTCATGATTCATCTTTTTACGTGGAAAGTTAACTACCCTGGCAGTAGTCTCAAGCAGTTTCTGAAAGATGGCATTACTGTCCTACTCACCCCATAATTATGCAGCTCCTTTAACAAATAACTGATGGACTTAAAAAGGTTTTGAAAGACAGTGAATTATGTAGCCCTGTTCTTCTTTTCACAGATTCATTAAATATGACTGAAGAAGTTAGAGACAGTGGCTTTCCTTTGCAGGAGCCGTTCTGGTTTGTGCCTGTTTAATAATGACAACGTTCTAAATCCTACTGTTTTGCTTCTGCATTAACTTTACTCAATTTTCTGTTTTTGAAGTGATACCTAGCAGGTCTGAAATGCCACTGTTGACCCTTTTCTTTACCTCCATGCTTTTTTTTTTTTTTTTTTTAAAAAAGACAGCCCTCCTACTCTCAGCAGGAGAAGATGATTTTAATTGAGAATTTAAATACTGTTGTTAGGTCAGCTGCTCCAGTACCAAGTGGCTGATGAATATCAGCAGGCCTCAGTAACTCACTGTCCTTTAGTTTATCATCCTGCATCAGCATCTCCTTCTTTTGACAGTCATCTAGGTGATTTCCCCAGCTTTTCTTCAATATCTTTTCCATTTTGCAGTTTTCCTTTATTGCTTATTTTGTTCCTTAGGAATACAGACAATCTGAGATGATTTCTTTTCCCTCAAGTTTTCTTCTGGTAGTTAAAGAACTTTTATTATTTTTGTTTCCTGTTTGCTTTTCAAAAATTTTATACCTATTTTTCATCTAGTATTTTACTTACTAGTGGAATAATCTCTAGTTTTGAGAGGGATGGATTTCTACTGTTTATACCAAAGTACAAGGAAAATTCAGATTTGGGACTATGAAACCAGCTTGTCCTGATACCATCCTCAGTCTTGTGTCATTTGAGAAATCTCACTGGTACTGATTTTATTTTAAGTTATTTTTAATGGCACTTTTATGTGCCTTAGCATTCTAAACCCAAAAATCAAATGAAAAATTTTATTTTCTCATTATTCATGCTACATGGTATTTTAGGTGTAATCCTTCACCTCTTTCAGTGCTAGAAAGCTGCTGGACCTACACAGGAAAAAATGAGTGTCTTTAAATAGATGCTCTAAACTGCTCATGTAGAAAGAAGATGCTTTGTAACCCTGTAAGTACCCTTAAACTTCTTATGTCAAACTTCCTCAGTAGTCACATTAATTACATAATATATTTTAAAGACAGGATGGAATTTTGTAGACTAGTACAGAGTTTTAATGGCTCCATAAACATCAGAATGCAAAGGCATAAGAAGAGTTCATTGCATATTTTGCAAAATGCAGTCAATTTGGCAGATCAATCCATAATAAACCTAAGGACCATAGTTATTTTCAGGGCAAAAGAACTTCCCAGAGAGAAAGGGACTTGGGGAGAGTCTGTGCTTATTTTCTTGCTGAGGGGGACAGCAATCCTGCTCCTTGGAGCCAGTGCCACCAGCTGCAGCAGGGGAGCTGCTTCTGCACTTACTCTGTAATAAATGCATGTTCTCTCCTCTGAACTCATGCCTCTGCCATCACACGAGGATGCTGCCTGCTGTGTTAATCCACCAATAAAGAGACCTCAGGTCATACAATAATATGTGCCTTTACCTTCTGCCAGTACCCTCAGGACCGGCTATTAATTTTCAAGTCGTTGAATTTTCACTTAATGTACTGCAGTTCTCTGAAGCGTGGTGAGTTTCTTTAACCATTAAAACAGCTGAAAGCTGTATATATAAAATAATAACCATGATGATGATGTATAAGGAAGCAGGAGAACCCAAACCAAAACTCTGCCTTTCACTGGAATAACCACTGAATGGGGGGTTATTTACATTTCTGTGCAGTTACATCTTGACTCGATGATGGTGACTACTGAAGGGTTTGCTCCTTACGCTGAGAACCACGCTGCGCAGGTTACTCCAGGAGTGCCCCACAAAGCAAGCGGGGATATCTCCGCGGCCCGGGATTTGGTTTTGGGAGGGATTCAGGAGCCATCCAACCTTGAAGCCGTGCAAAGAAACACGCTTTATTTAAGCGCTAGTCCCTCCGGGACGTAAACCGCCTGTGCCCACCGCCGGGGGAGAGGGGTGACAGCGCGGAACCGCCACCGCGGCTGCTTCTCCCGCCTCGGGTTTGGGTTTTCGGGGGATGTTCTTGGGGGACAGGTGGCTACTTTCTCCCGTAGGTTTCCCGAGAGAGGCAGGAGGGAGCAGCAGAGGTGAGACAAAAAGGGAAGAGGAGGAGGAGAGGGGGAAAAAAAAAAAAAAAAAAAAAAAAAGGCGGGGGGAAAAACAAAATGAAAAAAAAAAAAAAAAAAAGCGCGTTTTGCATGTTGTAGCAAGCCCCGGCGCATTTTATAGCGCAGCACCGCGCAGCACCCGCTTTCCTCCCCCTTCCCCCCCGGGGGCGCTCCGCGGCCGCGCAGAGCCGCCTGCAGCCTCCGGGTTTGCGCGACTCTCGTTTCTTGGGTGCGCGGAATTCCCGCGCCGATCATGCCGCCTGCGTCCAGCACGTCTTTAGGCACCGCGGTTGGAGGGCTGGGCCCCTTCTCCTGGCGACGGAGGAGAGGATGGAGGGTACCCCCTTCCCCACGACTGGTGCCGCTCACCTCCATATCCCTCCACACACACGCACACACACACCCCCCCCGCCCCCAAAATCGCGGTCGTGCCGGACGCGGGGCCGCGCAGTCTCCGCGGGTGTCCGCGCACATCCCCCGGCGCTTCTCCTCCCGGCTGAGGGTCTCCGCTTGGCAGGGCCGAGGGGCTGCTTCTCACATTGCAAGCCGCTGAGTAGCTTTTAAAATGATTTTTATATATATATATGCAGCTTTAAACATATATTTAACATGTTAGATATTATGCATATTTTTATATATGTAGCAGATCTATTTTATTTCCCTCTTTGGAGAAAATACCAAATCAATGACACCCTTTCTCCTAAGCATGTTTCTCTTCTAGTAAATGAGGCTCCTCCTCTGCTAGGCATTGATTCGCCCAGCAGTTTTTAGGATAATTTATGGAGCAACCTGATGAGCCTATTGGGCGAGTTGCTCGGTCCTTATAGAGTGGGTTCCTACCTGTTTGGGTGTTTTATTTTATTTTTTATTTTTTCCCCATTTCCCCTCCCCTCCCTCTGCCCGCCGTGTGCCGGGGAGGGGGGGGACGGTGGGATTGGCAGGGTCGTTATTCCCCAGCCTCTCCGGAGAAAACTCGGGGAAGGGAGAGCGCCTTTCACGCTCATGGATGCGTGGGGGGGGCCCGCGCCCCGCTGGAGCCGCCGCCGCGGGGCCCGGCTGCTGCTGCTGCTGCTGACCGTGCGGCTGGGGACCGGGTGAGTACGGGGGGGGATCCCCCCCCTCCCCAGGCACCGGCCACGGCCACGGCCGCCCGCACCCTCCCTCCGGGTCCCGGCTACCTGCGCATCGCGCCCAGGCTGAGCTCGGGGGGTGCCGGACGGCCGTGGGGAGGGGAAAGGGGTGTGTGGGGGGTGCTACGCTCCGGGAAACTTAAAAAAAAAAAAAAAAAATCAAAAAAAAAAAAAAAAAAAAAAAGAAAAGAAAAGGTCCCGGTGCTCAGGCGGCGGCTCCCGCGGGCGGCTGCGGGGGAAGCCGGCACCGGTAAAGTAAAACTTCAGCCGCATCCCACTTGTTCGCTGAGCGAGTTGGCGAGTCCGGGGTTTAGCTCGGGGCTGGGAAAAGCGCGTCCCCCCCCCTCCAGCCCCCCGCGCAGGGGCCGGGCCGTGGCGTGGGGCGGGGGCGGGGGCTGGGGCAGGCGGCCGGTGCCGGGAGGGGAGGCTGGAGTCGGGGCGTGGGGCGGCTGCGGCGCCGGGGGCGGGCTCGGAAGAGTCTGGTCCAGCGGCGGGTGGTAACGGGGGGGGGCGGCGGGGGGACACCCGCTCCCGGTGCCGGTGCCGGTACTTTCTCACTGCGCGGCACCGGCTTCCGCCCCTGCGGGCCACGGGAGAGGGGTTGGGCCCACGCGTGGGACGGAGCCGGGCAGCTGCTCCAGTCCCAGAAGTTGGGAACGTGCGTTTTAAGGGAGAGTTATAAAATTGGTCTGAAGGGCGCTGAAGAAACAACAGTTTGGTAGTGCTGTGTAAATGTGTTATGAGTAGCCATAACGATACAACGAAAAGCGATCTGATCATTCCAACTCCATTAGTACTTCAGAGCTAATGTGAACCATTCCACAGGTTATACTCTCATAAAAATCACAAAGCAGTACTGAGAGGGTATTTGTCTGTTGCCTAGTGTGTCCTTCTTTTTAATGGTAGACCAAATTATCATTCTAAGAGGATATAGCAAATATGTAGCATAAAGGCTGGCAGAAAAAAAAGAAATCTATTAAACATTCTTTTAAGTCTGTCGGACTCTAGACCCCTTCCCCATAATGAACGATGGTTTATCAATCTATGTGAAGTGTGTTGATCTCAGCTCATCTCTCATCTTCAGAAGACTGCTGTGTTATCCTAGTTAGAAACACCACTGACTATACTTTTCCTAATCTGTGTCTTTTAAAACCTTGGTATATTATGGAAATATTTTTCAAAAGCATTGATGGAAATTATACCAATGCAGCTGTGCATCTTCAGAATGTTTCTTAACGAACATATTGTACCTCAGGTATGAAAGAAATTATCAAGTGGTTTGAGAGAAAAGAATATGCATGCTAATTTATCAGTTCAAAGACTTAGCTACAAAGGAGGAGGAGGACTAGCTAAAAAAAAAATTATATTTTTTTTTTGTTTTTCAAAGTGTGGTTGTGATTACAGGACTAGGTGTGGATTATTATGTATACATCTCATTAACAGTAGCATTTATAAATAAGTTGATAAGAAGTGTTAAGTGAGAAAAAGAGGTAACTTACATGTATTATTTTATTTTGTGTCCTAGAACATCTCAGATAAAATGGAACCTTTGGTATAAATATCCATCTATCTGAATCAACTATTTTCAGGCTTGCCTTTCGTTCAGAGACTACATGGGAAAATGGTGGTTGAGAGATTTTTCTTTTTTCCATTTTTTTTTTTTTGAGTGTCTACAAATGGACCTGTTTTTCAGATCCTGATTCTGTGATATGTAGTACATTACAGCTCAGGGTGTGTGTAAAGAGCTTGGGAGCTCTAGTGCCCTTTAGCAGCCTGCTGCAAAGTAGGATGGAAATACTATTTTTCTGCTTCCTTGGATGCCTCTCTGTAGTTTCAGCCCAAGCTTCTCCTTGAAGTTCAAACTGAAACACAGAACTAATACTTTTCTCAAGAACAAACCAGGTTGCACCAATTATGGATGTTTTTCAAAAAACATCTTGCAGGAGCCAACCCCTTTTCAACACACACTTTTAAAAAGTTGCAAATTGCATCACTTCCAGTACACAAAGTACTTTGTGCTGAGTAAAGTTGCTTCAGGTGTAACAACTGGAACTAAAGCCTAAGCAAGGACATTGGAAGTTGAGTCCAACCAAGAGTTTATCCTTTTAATGTGCTGCCCCAAAAACTGTAGCGTGACATGAGACCAAACTTCCTTCACTGAAGTTGAACTCTGTCCCATAAAACAGTTGTTTTCCCCCAGTTCTGCACACGTAGTGTAAACAGGCCAGAATGGCCAATGCACTTGAAGTAACCTTATGAGTCAGAGTTGCGAGGGACTGTTTTTGTCAATAGCTGACATCTCTGTAGCAGCAATCGGGCTGTGAGCCTTTCTATAAGGTACGTGCAGGAAAAGAGTAGTTACCCAGCAGTCGCTGCAGTCCTAAGTGTTCAGCAGGCCTATTATTCTTGTTAAACTCAAATAAATAGATAATTCATAGGGAGAGCATAAGAGCTGACAATATAATTAATATTATTTCCTTAATTCTAACCATACAAGTGCAGCGTAACTGTAACATTACTTCTAATTTGTAGTGCTTTAAATGGTATGTACTGGTCAACATCCCTAACAGTATATTGTAAGCTTAACTTAATTTTGGCCATATCTTCCCTTTAGTTTTGTAACGTGATGTTCTAAAAAACAATTATAAATGCTCCATTCAAATATAACTGTCAGCAGGTGCAAATGTCAACTAATATTTTCTTTTCCATTTCCAAGTATCTCTTAGGAAAATACATAATAGGGCCTATGTTTTCTTCTCATATAAATTCCTGGATCAGAGTTAAGCATGTTATAACAACATGGGTTTCTCAATGCTTGGTAATAGTGATTTACTGTTTCATTTGAACATCTATGATGTTTATTCATTATTATCTTCACTTTTATGTGCTTTGTTCATGATGTGACAGTGAAGAACTTGTTATTTAGCAGTCCCATTGGTTTAAAATATGGTTCATTTTATTAAAAGTTTAATAATATTTTCTTTTGCTAGTATAAAGTTTAACGACACATAAATATTGTGAAATGCATATATTCTTTGCACACAACTTTCTTACAATGCATTTAAAGAAAACCTTCAAACTAGCCATTAAAAGAAAGGCTCTCATAGCAAATTGAACTACATTTTCAATTACTTTTAACTTTCTGTTTGTTAAATATGCCTGATGTTAAAGAAGAGCACCCTCGCTACCAATTGACGCCTTTCTGTGCTGGATAGAAAAGGCTACACGTGACCACTTGTTGACTTTGGTGAACTTTTTTTTCTGGATACATACATCTGGCCACAGAGTAAATTACAGGGGGTTCGGGGGAATCTGTGTTTTTTCTTTGAAGAGAGGAATTGTAATAATCTGGGTCAAGTAAAACACTTGGTTTCTGTGGCTAGTAGGTAAGACTACATAAATGGACCTGCTGTCTGAACTGTTTGAAAGTGAGTTGCCTTGGTTTGTGCTATCATGTATACTAAAAAAGTCATGCATGTTGGACTCACAGAAAAACAGAGGTGAGCATCTCCCAAGATAGGCAAAGAGCCATTTTTGTAGTACCAGTTATGAGATAAGAGTACTAGGGCTTTTTAAATTACCTACATAGCCCTTTCTTGCACTGCATGCTAAATTGAGCAAGTACTTAGGTAAAATAACAATATCATAATTTATTTGGTAAAGAGCAGCAGAGAGAAGTGATAATTATAAATGACAGTATGTAGCACACTGACAGGAACCTTTCAAAGGGTGGTGGATGACAGTGACACTAACTTTTATTTCTTAACAATTTCTCTGAATGGTAATAATTTGTAAGGAGTAATTCAGATGCAATTGAATTAACCTAGAGATGACACGGAAGTCCTGATTTTGCATTTTTACACATGAAAACATTTTTAATAAGGCTGAAAATGGTGTGGTGAGTTCAGTGGCCTACTGTCCTATGTAAAAACTTGATTCTACATATCTAATCTTAAAATGGTAAATCATGGAATAACACTGAACTAGTAGATGTAGCTGAAGAGACTAGAAAGGTCATCAGGAGTATACCAGAACAGAACTTTCTTCAGAGAAGAGGGAAATCTCAGTGATATGGCAAAGATGGAAAGAAATAGTTTCTAAAATATTCTTTCATTGGTGGATTTTCAAGTCAGTAGGATAATCCAGTCTGATATAGGAGTAAACGAAACTGGAGAATTTACCCCGGCTTCTGAATCAGGTCTGTTGCTTCAGTACAGCTGTTCTAAGTCCCTGCATAAAGATTTGATGAGAAGGAACTCGATGAAGTATTGTACAGTATTTCTAGTCTGAGGTTTCTCTGGCTTCCAGCCAGTAGATCTCCTGCCTTCTGCTAGCCGAAAAAAGCCTGATTTTTTTCCCAGTACCACCTGACACATCTGGCTCAGCCACTGGATCCCACATCCATCTCTTCATGGGGAAATCCATGTCTTGGTTCATTCCTCTGGCTCTGCAGGGCAACGTTGGGGTGCAAACCCATGGCCGCAGCTGCTCTTCAGGAGCGGAGTATGATCTGCAGCTGTCTGCACTTCAACAGGGACAGCAGTCATCAAAGCTCTTCCTTGCCCTGTGTGCCTCTGCCAAGTTTTGCCTTAACAAGAACTCAGAGCACCTCAAATGCATCCTGAAAATTCTTAAAGGAATGGGCAGAAAATATTCTGTTGCCTTTCTCTTTCCAGCCTAGTCTTTCTTGATATGTTATATGATTATCTGCTCAGAGAAACCTCTTCAATTTGCAATGCAGTTATATGCCTAGCAGTTGTTGCAGGATGAATGATCTCATCCAAAAGAAAAGTTTTATACGAATGTGTCACAATCGGAGATATTCTACGCAGAGTGGAAATTTCCATTGAATTGGATTCACCCATTCTACAGTCATACTAGCTACTGTTTGAAGTATTCCCCTGGTATATGTAGTTTAAGGGGCAACTTGATAGCATCTTATGTTTTCCTCTCAAATAAGTAAA